AGCTGGAAACAGTTTCTCAGTGACCTTTACTTTTAATATGATATCCCTAAAGAGGTCATAGCAGGAGAAGCCCTCCTTCAGTATGGTTTTGCTGGAATGAAGCCACCAAAGAGTCAGAGGATATAGAGGATCCTGGGCCAATGCAAAAGTATAGAGCTTTTGTGCAGATGGTCCTGGCTTCCAACCGGTCCCTCCAGATCCACTGAGCCAGTCCAACAATTAGAGGAAAATATTCGGAAAGCAGAACCTCGCGGAGTTTCTCTCACCCATCTGCTCCTACAGACTCTGCAACAGGAGGAAATCTGGCTTGGGTAACAGAAGAAGGGTGAAATGGATTGAACAGGGCTCAGAAAGGGCCAGAAGTTCAACCCAAAATGCAACCAAACTGTGAGAGAGTTTGGAAAGGACTGGGAAAAAAACATACATTGGAAAAATATAAAAAGTCCCAGCTGTAGAGGGTTTAGGGATCTGAAAGCCAAAGCAAGAAAAGCCAAAATCATGGTTTCTTCTCCTGCATGAATTCAGAAAGCAAAATACACTGTCTGTTGAATGAAATTAAGAGAGTCCCTTTGTGTCTTGTGAGTAATGTACATGTTTATGTGTCCTGAATGGTCACACACATAGAAATATTTCTGTACAAGTGAATATTTATTCCTGCCAAAACGTTTTACATCAGTGGACAATAGAAAATCTTCATAGAACATATAATTTTGAACAATTCAATTTTCTACAATTGCCCTATGTAATATAAAACCTCTGTATAGTACGTTCCAGGTTCTTCTTACGAGGAGCGGTTGAGGGAGCTGGGGTTGTCCAGCCTGGAGAAAAGGAGGCTGAGGGGAGACCTTATCCCTCTCTACAACTGCCTGAAAGGAGGGTGTAGCCAGGTGGGGGCTGGTCTCTTCTCCCAGGTAACAAGTGATGGGATGAGAGGAAGCGGCCTCAAGTTGCACCAGGGGAGGTTTAGGTTGGATATTAGGAAAAATTTCTTCACCGAAAGGGCTATCAAGCACTGGAACAGGCTGCCCAGGGAAGTGGTTCAGTCCCCATTCCTGGAGGTATTTAAAAGACGGGTAGATGTGGTGCTTAGGGACACGGTTTAGCGGTGGACTTGGCAGCGTGACATTAACGTTTGGACTTGGTGATCTTAAAGGTCTTTTCCAACCTAAACGTTTCTATGATTCGTAAACAGGCAGGTTGGCTTAAATAACTGCAGCTTTTAGGGTCTGATCCAGTGCCAGCCAAACTCAATGCAAACGTTCATGCGACATCAATCTCCTTTGACTAAGCCTTCCATGCAATTTGTGTGTATTTGAAAGAGGAATCTTTTTTGCTTGAAAGGTTGCTAGTGCTTAATGTAGCTTGCATTGTCTTTTTAAAGTAAGACAATCAAATCACATAATGTAATTCATCTACATTATTAGCCTTCCCCAAAGACAAAGCACAGGCTAGACACTGAGGTTTGAGAGGCATGTGAGAGAAAACATTGCCTTTAAATTAGCATTGGCAGATAGCAGAGGATGGGAGGAAATGTGAGGAAGTGTTCACTATAAAATATACACTTGACGATGGTATGTGCTTATATGTTTTACACAGGACAGTGAAGCAGAGTTTGGCAAGGTAGGGTCAGCTCCTGTAGTCAAGACCAGGGGATTACTATAATACCAAAGGCAGTGCTGCCAGCTCTCCTGACTTTATTACCAGTCTCAACATATTACACTGTTTTCTTCAGCTTGGCTCCAGAAATAAAACAATTTAATGAAAATCTCATTTTTCAATAGAAATGAGAAAACCTAAACTGGGGAACCAAGTGTGGAACCTTAAAGCTTGGAAAGCTAAATGGCAAACTGCTACTTCTTGTCTCTCAAATGTTAGTATTTCACAGATTTTAAGTGAGCCAGTTTCATGATTTGCTGGGACTTCATGCCTGGTTTATGAACATAGGGCAAAGGCAATACTGAACATACAGTAGGGCCAGTGGGCTGCTACAGCAAGAACAGCAATCACTTTTGGAGCTGGTGCTCTGTGGGTTTAATGTCTGTACGTTAGCAAGTTCTTGACCAAAATCTCTATTTTTCTTTGGATCAGATCCCCAGCTCCCAAGCAAACAAACTCCAATTATCTTAAACCAAAAATTCCTAAAAAACCCACTCCTTTCAACAAAACCAAAGAATGCCTGCTTTTGCCACATAAAAAGTACTTTAACCAGACTGAGGCATGATATTACGGAAAAGGAATTTATAACTTCACACTGAAGATCAGTGTCTTTGCTCTGCTAGCAAAGAAAATTGCTTTGATTTAAGAAATAATATAGCTGAGGACTGCATGGCTAATATTTCTTCACATGTGCAGCAGGGAGTGTGCTGTGTCCTTTCTGCTCAGTACAGAGACAACACAAGCTTTAGCAGTACAAATAAATACTTGCAGATTCGGAGGTCCCTAATTTTGGACAGGAGGGTGGCTGTATTAGAAGTCCTAATTTAGCAAACTGTGAATTCACTGAGACTTAAGCACAAAAGAGATGCTAGAGCCTAGACATGTAAGTAAGAATGAAATTTCAGTGGCTCATGTGGCTCTTGATCAAACTTTTAGTGTCTGAATTCAGTGGTAAGCACACCCATTGACTTCAAAGATAAAAGTTGGACCCCTCAAACTCAAAGTTCAAAGAACTTGCAAGCTGCAATGACGGATCTTCTTTAGCACCTTACTTAATTGTGTCTAGATTTTATTCCTCACCTTGAAATATTTTATTAATAGGCAAGCTATACGCAATATGGAAATACATATTAGATTCATTTTTGTAAAATGAGCATATATAGCTTAAGTTAAAAAACTCTGGGCCTTTACAAACATTCAAGGATGGCTTCAGCAGGTAATGCAAAATCTTGCTGCAGACATAGGAGTATTTTCTACTCCTTTCACAAAACATAACAAATGAATCTTTAATACTAGACGCACAGCATAACGTAGTGCCACATGATTTCTGAGGAGAGGACAAGAAGTCTCAGACCTAATGATGAAATAGCGCTTAGTGTTTGGCACTTTCATGTAGAGCTGCAGCTTGGAGAGAAATTTAGTAATTTGACCTTGAACATGAAGGTTTAAGACTTACGTGTTTTGGGGAAAGGAAGGAGTAAACTTCAAGTTGTTTTGATAACTTGAATATAAGATAAAAAAATACATATTTTCTAGTAAAGGCAGTCAGTGATTAAATTATCCCATAGATGAGAGCATTAGCAATCTAATCTTTAGTCGACAAGGCATATCCCTCAAGTAACAATGATGTGCCACTATGATTTCTTAAGATGATTTTCTACTAGATTCAAGACCAAATGATTTTCAGAGAATAAATCACACCCTGGACTGAGAACCTATCCTGAAATTACTTGACTAAAATTCTTAGTTTCAACACAGTTCTTGGAGACAAAGCTGAATCTACACTAACAGTGAGAAACAGGCAACAGAAAACTTCTAAGGTGCACATAATGCAATGGATATCACATTATTTTTCCTCGGTGTCTCAATTCTTTCATTTTGTAGACCTAACCAAATATGAAAACATTAAACACAATCTCTGAGCTCAAAGCCACTTCCAAAACTGCCAAGTATAAAACTGTTACTGAACTGCTCTGTTCTGTTTATCATATTAAGATACATTTTTTTGATGAAAAAATGCTAGATTGCAAGTGTAACATAATAGAACCAGCAAGCACTGCCAGCAGGTCTGAGGAAGAGAGAATAATTCGGAGATATTGTCATCTGTAGGCCAATTTATATTGTCAGACAGCAGGTTCACATTAGTCTCTGATGTCACTGCAATAATGGCATAATACGACGATTGAGCAAAGAATACCTGTGGGGTATAGCTATATGGTGCGGTATATCTGTACTTGTTAAAGTATTTCAGGATTCATTCAAAGCAGAATCAGAAAAAGCAGAAGACCAGGATTAAAAGAAGAGTGAGAAAATGGTGTTCATAAAGACTTCTGAATATTTTAGCCCTTGTTTTGTGATGATGAAGCAAGGACAATGTTGTATTTCATTGATTCAGTGAGTTCATGATTAAAATAAACTAATGTAGCAATTTAAGGGTTTTGTGCTTCCTTTTTTTTTCCTCCTCTAACAAGAAAAAAAGCTTCTTAACAGTTTCTCGCGGCAGGCATAATGTGCATCTGTGCTCTGATTTACTGCACACGCTGCCTTCTCTAGCATCATGTTAAGTTAGGGTATCAGCATGGTAGGTCACACAGTGGGAGTGACCTTTTGCTAATCACTACACATCAGTTACTACCGGCACACAGCTCATTACTAAGAAACCCTCCAACTAGCTGGCTTTCAAATATGCTCACGCTTTGATTTTTTTTTCCCTTTTCTTTCTTTCTTTTTTCCCCCAGACTAAAGATTATACTTTTATATAAAAGCTTCTGTTGTGTAATTTTGTCAACTAGGGTTCCAAAGTCAAAAAGGCACCCAGTTAATTTTCCATGATTATAAAAGGAGCCTGAAAATTCATACTGACGGTAGGCCTGTAATCTTGGGTTTCATTAAAAAGGTCAGAACATTTTTACTCAGCACCTATTATTAAAATGTTTGAGGGCTGCCATTAATTTGATTTTTTGGGACACAGAAATCTCACTGGAAATTAGAATGTAATCCTGCTGTTGCTTTACTGACACTTTTCATAGGGTAGGATACAGCTGCGGGGACTAAGAGCTCTCCTGCAATTTACAATTGGTTACTTTGGACAAATGGCAGGTGACTAATGCAAGACAAACTGTTTGCACAACCTGGGAGCACTGGGTTTAATTTCAGTTTCTGAAAGAGGGGAGAAAGTGTTTCTATTGACGTTGAACCGTGAGCTGTCCCCTGCCAATACATCTGCCACATTTAATACCCAACACGCCCCCCACCCCCGACAATGTGATTATTAGAGGTACAGAATTCAATAGCTTAAGAATACAAAACATAGCTGGAGCAAAATGAAATGGTTTATAACTTACCGGCCATTTGCTGAATGCCGCTGAAGGCACCCAAGTTACTGGAGGAAGTTGCTTGCTGCAGAAGCTGCAAATTAACAACACAACACAGCAATCTATCTGACATTAATGTAACAAATGAAGATAAAACTAAAATGAGCTATCATTTCACATTTGGAGTATTTATGCTTTCCTTTACATTTATATAGTCTCTTGCTTCTGTCTGTTGTTGGAATGAACATCCCTAGAGTCAATGCTGTAAATCCATATTAATGTCTAATCTCTATTAAGAAACACACAGACACAAGGGAAACTCAATAACATTGCTGCTTTAAAACAATTAATCAATTTATTCTTTTTAACAACCAGGTGTTAAATCTATTTAAACCAACATAGCGTGACTAATTACAACCCTCTGTAGTCTGGTAGTTACCATAACTCATCTCTGTCAATCACGGTCCATTCTGCCCCACCCCCTTGAATTCAGTTTTTTCTTTATTATCTTTATGAATCAAGCACACAGATACTCATTAGACTGGTATTTGTATATAACAATTTAGCCTACCTCAGTATTAATTAGCCTACCTCAGTACTAATACATATTTTTATTTATGAGGTAAATTGCTGTTTGTAATTATATCACTATACGAAAGCATTGTATGCATACAAATTATGTATTTATGCATACAGAGTACATGTATATGGACGAATCTATTTGTCTAACTTGGAACCATCAGGAACTCCCCAAGTTATCCAAAAGCTGCTCAACCAGACCTCTCAACTCCCGAGCCACAAAAGGTAGAGGGTCCCTCTCAGCTGTGCTGCAGGGGAGTCTCTCTTGGCCATCCAGGACCTACGACACGCGGCTGTGGATTTCAGATTTCTCCAACAGGGGCAGCAGCTAATGCCTCTTTCTCATCTTACAAATGGACCAAGGAAAATACCATTTTAAATGTATGAGAAACAAATTGCTTTCCCCTGCCATCTTCACTTTCTGTACAACGTACTATGAACCACGCATGTTTAGCATTGACAGGACCACGCATTAAAGCGAAAGCCATTTCCAAATGAAAATGTGGAAAATTAGAGGATTGAACGACGACATTCTAGTTTAGAGGCTGCACCATATAGATATGGCCCCTACCGTGTTCAGCTGCCTATCTGTCCTTCCCCTAAGGAAGAACTTAAATTTTATTCCAGCTATAAAAAACAGGCTCTAACATTCAAATGAACAATAAAACTAATGGAATCAAATTTTATTTTGCAGCATGAGTAAACTTTAAGTGCTTGGACAGCACTGACACATCTTGAAATGTTTACTCAAAGTCTATTCCTTGTTATGTATTTTTAGACCATGTGATAAACATACAGAGTGTTTTACATGGAAGATGACATGCTACGTATCCTGGAGGACTTAGCAATTTATTGCAGGGAGTTTACTACAGCTGATTTACCATGGTTCTAAAATAAATACAGTATAGTATAGTCACCGCCTCTGAAATGAACTTACAGCTAGGTATTGTGGTGTGAGTCCTCCAAGACCTGTGAGGTTTCCCCAAGTGGCAGTATTGAGCTGTTGCATCTGCTGTGCCAACTGCTGCTGCAAACGCCGCTGCTCCTTGTCCTTTTGGGTATCGGCAAACTTCACCACGATTGGCGAAGAGCAGCCCTGTGGTTAGACAGATCAGGAAAGACAGAAGCGTTAAATCCCACCAAGTCACCCTCGCATCGTGAGCTCAGCCATGTCCCATAGGGCCACTGGCAATGGCATGACCTGGTCGCTCACCCTCTCTTTGTGATTGGCCTATGCAGGACCGCAAGGACTAAGATTTTCAGCTTCTTAGGAAAAGAGGCTATGGAGAAATTATTGATTCCGCAGTTCTTTTTATAAAGCACCTTTCCTCAGGCTCTCTTTTCCTTCCAGCTATCAAAACTGCTGCCAGAGACAGCAAAGTGTACCAGTCCTCTTTAATTAAGCTTCACAGCTGATGAGATGGATGTGATGCTTTGTCTGCAGTCTGTTTTCAAGGCATCGCCAAAGGGAAAGGTGTCCAACCTCCCTGCTGCCAGAGACCACACAGCCAACACCGCCCTGCCACCACGGTCTGGCTGTGCGGTCACACTCTGTGCAGCTGGCTTGTGCACCCTATGTAAATAGACCATGAGCAACCCCATCAGCAGCCGCTCGCTGGTCCTTTTCGTACCAAGGACCCCCAGTCCCAAGTGAGCACAAAGGGCGATGCTGCCAGGACAATTCACCCACCTGCGGTCTGCTCCCAGGCACGCTTTGTATCAAGCACCCTTGAGATGTGAACAAAGGGCAGGATGCAGACCAAAAGTGAGTAGTTCTGGTGATAGCAGCCCATTCCTGATTGCCACTACTTCTATTGCTTCTATGAGCATCTTGTTACATGATATGGGAGGGTTGTAAGACACCTTAGGAAACAGGGAGGCTGTAAGAAAGACCCAGAGATCTGGTCTGTAGCCTACTCCTCATCCATGTCTGAGGGACCCTTGGGAAGAAGTAGAAGGTCATGGACCAGATGGACTTTTGAGGTAAGCTGGATATTTCCCTCGGACTTCAGATCCCTGGGTATTCCAGGGCAAAGTCACTGAGAGAATGAGACATGTGAATATGAAAGTTGTCTCTGTTGCTCTCGCTCTATTTTTTTCCCCCACTAACATATAAAAACATGTTTTCATATTTTAACCTTTCAAGTCTTCATTTTTTAAAATCAAGGGAGCAAACTATATAGTGCAATGATTCAGTTCTTCAAATTAATTCAAGCATTTTGTGAGTAATAGAAACTGTCAATCCATTGCATACTGTTTTCCAACTTCATAGGATCGAATGAATAACTTCCCTCCACCTGCCATGCTTTGTTATACTAATTTCTTGTCTAACTTCCATCTGAACACAATGGTAGGAGTGAAAGGTGACTCAAGTCCAAAAAACACAGCAGCACTTCAGCCAAAGTGTATAGTGTGGGATGAGGAGCGGGGTTATACTTAACCTAACTCTTCCCATGGCAGCTCTCACAACACTGTGAACGCCTTCAGAAAAGTTCCTGTCCTCTATTATTTACAAAAAGCAGCCATGTACCTTTTCTCTGGAGAACCTTACACCAGGGAAAATGATAAGAATATTCACAATCAACAGATGAAATGATGAAATAAACCACAATAATAATATCTCTTGTATGAAGATCTCCCATCAATACTGTTCTTTCAGAATTATCTTAGAAAATCATCACTTGGGATTTATTATTCCACCTCCAACTCCTTTCCTGCGTGTTTCATTGCAAAAATGTCTTTCAGTGTTTCGGTGAGGAAGAAAGGAGATACGTACCACTCCAGCAATCAAATAAAGATTATGAAGGAGTCAGCTTGTTACACAATTACCTCTCTCTAGTGATTTTTATACTAATATTAAAAACAAGACCCTTTAAAAAGAAAGAAAGAAAAAGGAGCTGCGGGGTGGAGGGTATGAGAGAGTTTTTTCTGGTTTCGCTAATAAAAAAAGCAAGCTGTTTCTATTTAATATGAGTTTTGGTAGCAATGGGCTAAGAACAGCTAGAACTTACTGCCTTCTACCTAGATGTACAGGAGAAGCAAGTCTACTTCCAAAGAAATAGAAATTAATTTCAAAGGAAGAAATATCATATGGCCATTTCAGTTCTCAGTTCAGCAGCTCAGCACTCAACACTACAGCCGACATCATATTTATGAGTGCTTAAATGTCAGTAAATTGTATAAAAACAATATCTCTGCAATTTATGAATCCATAATTCATTTTTTCACTGTCTGTTCTATATTTCATCACTTCATCATTTTCAAGAGAGCAAACATTCTGAAGACTGAAATTATATGTAGCAAGTGGCTCTATATGAGAAAAGGGTTGTTATTGTTGCATCAAATTTACTCCATGATAATAAATTAGTGTCTTCTACTGGTGCTGCATTTGAACGCCTTAAACAAACAAAAAAACTCCCCAGAAATGAGATAGAAGAGCAAAAACTCTAGAGCAGCAATTATGTTTTTAAAATCAGTTGATTTAACCAGGTCAGAAAGTCAGGTGGAAAGAGTAGTAAGAGAATTCATTATTCTATGAGACGTGTTCATCCGAACATTAACATCCCCATTGCTCTTTCTTAGCCCACTTTGAAAATTCATCCTACTCAGTGATGTGTGCCAAAGAACTGAAAATAATGAAATCAGAAAAAGAATTCTGAAGTAATTGGGTTGAAATGTAATTGTGTACTACATATTGTCCTGCCAGCCCACTTCTGTTTGCAAAAAACCATGAAACGAAAGTGTCCAAGGACCACTCTTTCAGGCTGAGAGTTGAGATTTCACACCAGCTAACCCAAGTTAACTTTTTACTACAAGAGTATGGGCAAAAGCGAGCAAAATTTTTGCTCTTAAAGAGTGATTTGTTTTATGCTCTTCCATTTTCTATCTTGAGAGGAAGGTCCCAGCACATGCACAGGGTGCAGCTCCCTTCCTCGTTCAATGGCTTGGTATCTCCACCCCATTTAGTGCCATTTTCTTCCCATCAGCTGTTGCTGCCTTCATATTTTTCTTTGTGTTATCAAGACAGTAGGTACAGACTCTGCTGAGTCCCTCACCCACTGAGCTGGAGGGTGTAATGCTTCTCTCCAAGAAGGGACTCAGTCTAAGCTCAACTGGCACAAAGACCCAGACGTTCAAAGTGCAAAATATTTGGAATCGCCTTGCCAGTTTGGGGATCTCATTGATGACGTCTCTAAAGGTGTTGAGAAGAATTTTGATCCAAGAGTAACTATTCTATAGAAGTAATGTCAACAGGAGTATCACATCAAAATGCAGCCTCTTTTGGAGTACTGCATACAACAGAAGAATGGGAGAATTTGTCTGGGAGGTATTATCTCTTTAATTTTACCATCTTCTGAAGTAGAGCTGTGTAAAATTCATTTTGCTAGACAGAAAAATACATTAAAACACATGGAAAAATATAGGTAAAACACAGTATTACCAATAAACATTTCCTTTTTACTTGGAATCAAACCCATAAAAACATATAGATCTGAATTAATGGAGCAGTGCATGGCAGACAAATTACGAGTGTTATTTCAGAGACTCAAAGTGGCAGTTTTTTTCACAATATACTGTCAGACTGCATAGATTGTATAACAGCAGCTTTCTAGTAAAGATAATTTCAATTATTCTCATCTCATTGGCAGATTCTCATCTAAGACTGTATACTCAGGGTCTAAAAATGCATTGCACTGAAAAGAAAACACACCGATTATAAAAGAAGCTCAACCAAATTCAAATGTGATGTTTGGAAAGACAATAGCTTTGCAATGCTGGTATCATTACTTGTAGTATACAGGAAACAGTTAGTGACATTTTCATGCACTGGCTTGATTTTTAGCTTCTCCTCCTTCTTCTCCTCTCTCCACCCTCCCACCCCTGGTCTCCCCCCTTGGCTCGTTACACAAAGCAGCTCAACGACATGACGCAATAATGATTGTTCAGCACCCAGCATGCTTTGGGAGACTAGAGCATTGCAAAGAAAAATCACTGAGGAAAAAAAAAATCGAAAGGTCCTGGTGGAAAAATAAATAAAAAAAAGAAACAAGTGCACATAACATCAATGCCACCTCTGAGAAAAATCATCACTACACGAAGATACAGTATACATAATACAGTATAACATGCACTCTCCAATGATAAGCTAGAAGATCCAGAGTAAGTAAAGACTTCATACTTGTGCGGTTTTTTGTGCAAAATTCTGAAAGACCATGACAAAAATCACAGACTGAAAAAAGTTTTGAGATTGCCAGACAAGCCGTGGCATTCGATAACCACTCCACTGAACGGATCGTTAGCCTGCAGCTATATTCACATTAAGTGAACAGGTTTAAAGTTTTGTGTTGCTCATCATCATAAAATACGAGGCCGTAGAGGCAGTTTGGAAAGAAATAAAGAGCGTTGCTTGTGAAGGGCCAGCCACGACAGTGCTCTGCAGGAAGTGCCACACTTCGATATGCTCTGTCATCATTAGCGCTTTTATTGGCTACATGAAGAAAGAGAAATTACATTAACTTAAAAAGAGATTCTATTTACAGGAAAACACATGCACTAGTAACTCGGTGTGGCCAGATTAAATCTCTTGAGCTTTTTCTCAGAGCAGCGCAAACTACAACACTTAAAAATCTATTTAAAAGAAACTAAGATTTTTCTTTGGGGGTGTGTGTGTTAAAATTAAAGGTAATTTACTCATCAGATATACTCTGAGTATGACTGAGGAGCGGTATTCACAGCATTTTTATTTTCTCCTGAATGCCACTGAAAACAGGATGAAGAGCCGTGTTTGGATATCACACAGCAACCTTATTGTGTGCTTTCAGGTCATTAAGAAAAATAAGCTTCACAAAGAGAGGTAGAGTGAGCTGGTAAAAAGTTTAAATCTGTGATTGTCATGTGTCTGATCTCGTCCAGGAGAGCATGGCTTTACCATTCGCAATCATTTGCACAAAGAAAACAAAGAAAGGGCAAATGATACAGTACTGTACCTCCATGGTCTGAGACTGGTGCATGGCTTTGATTGCATTCTGTGCCATTGCCCTTGTAGAAAATGTGACAAACGCACAGCCTGTGGGAACAAGGGGACAGGGAGCAGGAAAGACAAAAAACAACAAGACAAAAGGGTTGGACGCTTGTTAAACCAACACAGTCTACGAGAACGGCCACAAGACGACACTGTTCTCAGTAGTACATAAAAATAAACAACTTCTCTAGTTTATTTATCGACAGTGCTGACTTGCTAATCTGACCATAGATGAAAGAAAAAAAATTAGGTGGGGATGGGTGAGGAGAAAGGGTTTTTTCCTTTAATTTGCTTTTTGGGTTTTGTTTCTTTTTTTTTTTTTTTTTTTTTTTTTTTTTTTTTTTTTTTTTTTTTTTTTTTTTTTTTTTTTTTTTTTAGCCACAGGGTTTGAAATAAGTAAGGCTTCTATGTAGAGTTTGGATTGCATAGTTTAGTCTATTCAGGCCATGCATTAACAATTGCTTGCTATGGCTTTTGTGCAGGTAAATTGTGGATAGTGAATAAGTGACTGGCATCACTGGCAGCTGAACTGGGAATTTAATAAAGGAGTCCATAATGTCACATATTTCTGTGATGCACCAAGAACAACCATACAAATAAGGATAAGAAAAATTCCACTGTGTAGCCTGTGACTAACTGTGAAAAGACTCAGACAAAATTCAGTAATGTAGGTGGAATCTCAACATTTAAGAAAATAACATATTTCAAATAAAAATCTTAATGATTTTTTGTTTCTCCGAGTCCTAGGTACAAGTATAATTTGGTCTATGAAAGTTACCACCGACTTGAACAATTCTGAAGCTATGTGCATGAATAACTGAAAAATCACTTTTCTCCCTCCTCAGCCTTTTAAATCGTAATGAAAAGCCAATAGGCTAATGCCTGGGCTATTTTTCCAGCCTTTTACTATTGTCAGTCATACCTACACTGGGCATGGTACAGGTCAACTTTTTTAGCGCGTGACTCACTGCCCTTTTGACTAATAAAAACATTGCCTTCTGAGATTTACATTTTATTCTTCATGCACCCTTGGGCATCTTAAAGAAAAAGACTGTGAAATTAATGCAGATTCAGGCTGATTTTGTAATAATACCATGGCACACTAAAAGCTTAGCTAAAGCAACACAGACTTATTTCACTTGTGATCTCTAATGACTTTAAAAGTGCATTGATTTTCAGCTCCCTTAGCCTTGCACAGTTTGAACTTAGGTTTCAGAGAATAATTTAGTGTTCCACTCAATTTCCTCAAAACATTATTATTATTACTACTTAAAAGATTTCCAAATGAAGCAAATCTAAGCACTGAGAGGCTAAAGCATATTGTCATTTTAGAGCTAATGCATGAAAGCTACATTCTGGCATCAAAAATACAATATTGTTGCCCCTGTGGCCAATGGGCAAAATAAACCATTTTGCAATCCAACAAGCAACAGATTGTTTGGTTTACGCAAATCAATTTGAGGCATAAAATACCTTTTCTTTTTTGCTTCGTGTGTACCTGGTAAGATTATCAAGTCAAGACTGTATTCACATTTTAATCAAACAACAGTAAGAGAAAGCAATGCCTGATCATTACCCAAAAGCACTACATCTAGTCATGAAAATAAAGTCAATGCATTTTTGCATCATGCGGTATTTTTTTTTCTCTTTGATGTAAAGGCCCTTGGTACAAGAGAACCTAAGCTGGCTTATGTACCTCTGACTGATAAGTGGGCATTATAAAATCAGAAGTCAGAATTCTTTTATGCCAACTTTGCGGCAGTGTCGTGACTCTTTACATATTTCTCAGGTAACGTAACAGATGATGATGTCTTACTGCTGTTCAGTCACACTACGTGTAGCTATACTGTTCTTATTCAGCAACAAATTACTGTCAAAGAAAATGAAGTAAAAAACCAGCATTCTGTATGGCAATCTAGACAAAATGTGCAGTAGAAGGGTAAATAAACTACAGTACCTCCGCTAGATTCCATATTGCTGCTGTGCACTAAAATTAATTAGGCCCAAATTCACCATCAGTCTCAAAGTAATCTCTCTTAAAAACATTTCTGTTATTATCATTAACAGAGGAAATAACACCAAGGGTTTTCATTTCTTGTCTTGCAAATTCAATGGGGGATGAGCACAAATAGAGATATACTGGAGGGCAGGCAAGAAACCCCATACAGAGCCTTGAATAATATTGTTTATAATGGTCAAGAAACTGCTTCATTCACTTCTTTCGCTCTCATTATCCAGGAGTGTGTACCATAGTGACAATTACTGAATGGAGGTTTAGAATGCATAAGCAGCATGTAAAATGTCAACAAAAATCAATAAGACACAGTTTATGCATTTATCACAATTTCTACCCAGCAGTACCGCTGTAAGTAACTTACTGAGAGATGTTGCAATTAGCAGGTCTCAAAAGAAATGTGAATCAGCAGAGAAATAAAGCTGTGCTCCTCTCAAGATAAAGCAGACTCTCTGTTCTCTCCCTTTTCTCTTTTTAACCACAAAGCTCAGCTGTTGGGGACTTTCAGTGCCCAACACTGCCACAAAATCTCCCTCTTCGTTCCTCAGCCCAAATCCATTTGCGTGGATCCCATTGCCTCTGTCGTGGAGTTGAAGAGACCTTCATAGCAGATCTCTGTAAAGTGCCATATAGTGAGCTACCAATTTAAAAGAGACTTGCTCTCTGGGCAAGGGGAATGCCTGATGAATGAGGTTATGCGGCTTGAATATGAGAGTTTGGAAACAGCATTCCACAGAGAAGACGGGACTGCGTTTTAATTACGGTTTGCCAGCCAGAGGCTACAAGGTCAGGTACCCTTGTTATCTCCAATCGGCAGGCCATTTCCCACCGATGGACAGTGGCCATTTGCACAGTAAATACCCAATTTGCCTCAACAACCAAGGTAAAAAATCAACCTTAAGTAGACAACCTTATTTCTAAATTATTGGATAACCTAGACCTTCAGTTGTTACCATCAAGCACCCCAATTAAATGCTAGCTAATTTAACCATCTTTCCACACATTGCTACATGTATTCACATTCAAGGGTTATTTTTTTCACATACCAAACCTGGACACTCACACACAAAATTTGTATATTTATTATGTGTGCATATACATTTTATTATGTGTGAAACATGAGATCCTATATATTTTATTGTCTGTGAACCATGGGATCCTTTCCTTCATGACCAGACTGCCACACGGGAGGGGAGCTAAGCCTATATCATAGGATTCAGTCCACTTAACTCAATCACTGAACTTGAATATATAATTAGGTATTCAGAAAAGTTCTTCTGAGATGCTTATATTCTCAGCCACAATGGCAATACCTTTATTTTCCTATATGGGGTACATACGCACTTCTGGAGGATGATTTCATTGAGCGCCTAGAATTTAATCAGAAGTTAAATTTCACTTATTTAAGCCAGATTCACTTATTTAAGCCAGATGAGCTCTGTCTGGACCATCCTGTACTCTCGCTGCAGCGGTTTCTGAGGGGTTAGGAAAACCCTTTTCAGCATGCTCTCACTATATCTCATGGATACAGGTGGTCTTTTGGGAACATGCTGCCAGCTTTAGGACTGTAAATCAGAATTATAAGAGGACAAGACTAATCAGATTTCATGCCTCATGGTGCAAGGAAACAAGAAAGATTTCCGTGGCCTCTTACCTCATCCTATGAAACACTGCAATGATTGTAGTGCTGTGGGCCGAGGTCTTCCAGACCAATAGCTACAAGCAAACTATTTCTGTTCTACCATACTGAGTTCCCATACTTCAATTACTCCCTTCTTAGTGGAGCTATGGAGCTCTCTGGGAGAGAAAACGCGGAGAGGGGTATATTTCCGTAGCTAATGCCTTGAAATTACTTCGTTTTGTACCACCAGCTACAAAAAAAATCTTTTTATAAATACAGCCAACCTGCAATTATTTATCACCTCTGGTTTCAGAATGTCAGGGATCACTTACAGAAACAAAAGGGGAGGGAGAAAGGAGGTCTAAGAGTTTTAGTTTCTTCTCCAAGGCTGCCTTCTCACCCCCTACACCAGATAAATGATTGACTGGGGAAAAGCTGCTCGAAGTAATTTCCTCCTGCAGGCAGAATCAGAGGGAGGTACCCGGCCCTGTCACAGAAGAGATTTTGGAGCACATTATTGCATTTGCCATCTCGGCTGAGAGAACATCTAAACTCACAGGGTTGGTCCTTACCCCCCTCCCACTCCAAACTGAAAAAGAATTTTGAAGAGGCTGCAAAATTAGAAAAGCTTCCTCCTTGACCTGTGCCATCCCAAACCTAGGGCTCACTGCTTGAGCGATTGAATTATTTGAAATATTTAAAAAAGCTCAGCACTGCCCCATTTCAGCTCCCGCTTCACTTGATTCTTCTCATCTCAGGCTTTCATAGACTGTTTTGAAGCGTTCAGTCAGCAGTTCACGCACAGTCTAACATAACATCAATACTTGTGAGCTGCAAGTGAAGTAGAACATTTTAAAGTATGGAGGCCTCAAGGTAAGGGGTCTGATTTCACACCTACACAAGAAACCTCCCACATAAAACTACTGTGGTCTGCCAGAGGTTTTAAAGCCTCCAAACCCTCAGCAAAGCCAAAGGGAGATGCAAAACCCCTAGACATTTTTGAATCAGGCCTAGAGTTAAAAATGGAAGTTTAAAAACCATGGCTTTAAAGTTCTGGAGATGAAGGAAAGGCAGATGCAATAAATTCTTAAAAAAAAAATATATAGTGACCCCTCTGACACAGAAGCAGGCTCGAGAGATTTTCAAAGTCATCCGAGCAATCGCAGTACTACGTGTGGTGGCTGCGCGGCTGGTGGTATAATGGTTGCCCTACAGCTTCCTAGTTCACCGTAAACAAGGTTTTTCTTCACTTTCTGTGAAGAAACAATAGTGAAAAGCTGCCAAAATACTCCTGCAAGAAGTATTTGGGATCCTCTGAGATGAAAGCCTCTATTTAAAGAAAAGATAAGGCTCGAATAAAAAGCCATGGAAATTGAAGCATGATAAAAATAAGCTCTAGTTGTGTTAAAA